CAGATTAACAGTTCATTAGAAGTGTAGTTAGGATAAAAGACTACAATAGTATAACAAGTTATGACAATAGATACAGAAGATGTAAATCTCCTGTATCTATTGTCATAACATGTTAAATCATGTACAGTACAAAAAATGTTTCAGTGGTGCATTAATAGACCAGGTACTACATCATGGAAAATACCATCTAAGACATGGATATATTGCGCTGAAAGCAATTTAGAGCAATTGGCAATAGGGGATAAATAAATTACAAAATAGAAAAGAATGTCACACTAAGGCTGAGTGGCACATTCTAACAGAATATTTCAACAATCTTTAAAACCATATGATAACGTTAATGATGATGTATCTATATTAATTTATTTTATTGCATCTTTAAAGATTTATCTAATCACAGACATAAAGTAAGACTTGAAATAATTCGATTAAAAGAATTAACAATAGAATGAAAACATGCAACGAAACACATAGGCGATTTGTCAGAAGAAAGACTCCAGGGAGGACTTTCTACAAAAATGTGAAAGTATTTAGATGTTCGATAAGTAAAGAAATCCGGGAAAACTCACTTGGTCGAGTACGAACTCATTAACAATTAATATTGTTTGGTGGTTTTGTTACCTGCACATTGGCAAGTAATTTCTAATATCACATTCAGAGCAAACTCTTATCTAAATTCTAATATTCAGATTGAATTCATTATTAGATTACTAACTATCTGTGTCTTTCTTCTCAGAAAACGGGAGTTAAACAACAATAATTAATGAATATTCTCAATTATTTATTTATATAACATAATACTCTTGTGAGCAGTTAATTTAAAAAAAATTATAAACATTTAAGCAACGTCAATTCGTAAAAGATTATTTTTTACTCATAAACAATGGGTGTTTAATATAGCTTATCACTTGTAATTTATCACAATAACTGATAAAATAATTAAATCTTAACTAAAGGTATTTTAGTATACTTATTAAATCACACGAAATCTTATCATATTTTTCTTTTGTGATGTTATTATCTTAAGTATTTTAATAATACATAAAAAGTGTCAACAAGAAATCATTTTGTAGACGTGATACTTTATCACAGAAAGGGATGAAGCTGCAGAAATATTTCTTTCGCAACTCCTGTATTGGCAATTTATTGTAAGTAATTTTTATTTAAAATGTATTATTCTTATTGAAACTGAAGTAACTAGTATGTATTAAGCATTTTATTTAACATGTATTTCTTACAAATAAGTACTTTTATCTGTATTATTAATAGTATCTAATTTTAATCATTTGAATTATATGTAACTTATTGACAAGACTATATCTTTTTATGGCTTACCAGCTTAGAAGTATGAAGGAGTACATGCCAAGCAGGATTGCAATTTGGCACAGTGTATTTAGTGCCCAAATCATGCAAACACAAAAAATAAACAATGTGACAGAGAACCGAGTCAAAATAAAATTCAAAATGGCGACACTCTCTACAAACAGGTATTAGCGCGAGAATTTCGCATGTGTTGCTCGTTGGGAAGTTGGAAATGCGAATGTTGGAAAATCGAATTTTGACAAAGGTATCTTTGAAAAAACCCATTTACCCGCCCCGTGTTATTTCCCACTTATCTCTGGTCGCGACGTGTTAACCTTGACTGGTTGACTCGTAAAACGAGATCTCTCGAATCCAAGTTCCTACATGAGATTTTTTAGAGATTTCATAGGAGTTTTTGGTTCATTATGTCATAAACTGGATTTCAGTGAGGCATAAATAGATTTGCACATGAGATAAAATATGAGGGTCCCGCGTTATGAGTCTGTAGCTTACCTTTGACCCCAGATATCTCGTTTCATCATTGGAACGTTTTTGAAAGTAGATTCAACTGGAGGCGACACGCAAACAGGAGAAATTACGAAATTGGTATAGTAAACTGCACCGAAAATGCATCGTAGACATCCAGATGGTCTCGGCCGTGGTCGTGGTCGAAGTTTGAACTATCGCGCTCAAAACCAGCGATACCAAAGAAGATTGGAGAATGACAACGAGACCTACCTTAAGCGTGAAAGTGATCCCACTTAATAATGAGTCTCCGAGACATATCCTTGTCCCAAATATGGCTTTGCCGTTTTACTTGTTTTATTCTGTTAAAAAAATGAACTATGTGAGATCAGCCAGGACGTAGATCTTAGTCTACGACACTTACGGCGCGCGATCGTGAGATCGGCTCTCGTAACGTTTTATAGGAGGGCTGTTATATTTAGGAAAACGGGATTCAAGATTGTGAGGTCTTTATCTCAAATTGTCAGGGTCCCGACACCAGTTAATCAATCTTATTATACGCGGATTAACACGCGTTTGCGATCTGATTCGGAAACAATTTAAGAGACATTTAAGTATATTTAACAGGAGTAAATTTAATAATTCTAAAACAAAACGAATACAAATAATCGATGAACGACAATTAAGCGACAAGCTATAGGCTAAGACCTATTCTATGCTAATGCGCGATCGAGAGAGAGAGAGCTCACAAAATCTTTCCAAAACATACGACCTGTTTAGTTGTCGTCGTCTTCTTCCCTGTAGGTAAGGGACACCTTGTAGATAGAGTTCATATTACTTTCGTACGGGAGATCAACACGTGCACAAAATATAAAAGTATCACTTCTACGTGTAGACTCGGGACTTAGTCTATGGGACTCCGTTAAGGGCGTTGGTCATCAGGAGGAAAACTGCGTGGAGTTTTGACGCTTCGGATCTGTCGAAGAACTCCCCGAATTCGGACTAAATTCCCTTATATCTCCTGAATTTCGACCAATCATCGGCCAGTAACTCTTTCGTGAGAACGGACGAAAGGGGGATGAATGAGGGGTAACCATTTCCCATCTGAGCGAGATTTTTAACCAGATAAGGGAAAGTCAGAGGATGTTCTCTTCTGTGAAAGGAAGTGACATCTGTTATCTGGTTTTTTCCCACGTCTAAAACACTAGTTTTCACAAAAAATGAAGTAATATTTTGTGTCGATAATTTAATATTTTTAATAAAAATTATTAAATGTGACCCAGGGCCTTTTGGATCTCACAACTATCAGACTATAAACTACCAAGGTGTTAATGGTTATCAACCAACACGATAAAAAAATTTGTGCAGAATATATTTAACGATAAATTGCAACACTTGGGAGATCTGCTAAAAGGTAGTGAATTTTATAAGGGAAATTTGCTATTATTTAGGTGTAACCTATGTAAATACAGGATATTTTTTCATCTGTTTACCGTTTACCGCATAATTGACCATGGGTTCGTGCCGAGTCTGTTGGCCGACTTTATATGCTCTATTTCCTATAATACGGTGGAATTTGATCCGTGTAAGATGGAAAACCCCTATGCATGAGCATATCTATTTTTTGTGGTTAAGGGGTCAGATTAACTCTCTGAGGATCGAATACAAGCCATCACTTTAGAATTCCATAAGAGCAGTAAATATTGCCCTAGGTTAATTTATAATGAATAGTAATATCAAGACTTGTAAGTGCAATAAAATGAAAAAACATCTAAGGTGCTTTCATGTCCAAGTATAAATTACCTACTATACAAAAAAGCTGCATAAATAGCTTCGATACATTTCTAATTTACCTTTCGTTATACATTATTGTTTATGATGTCTGCAGTTATATAAAACTATATTTTAAGTGTCACAAAGATTTTATTTAAAAATATTAAAAAATATATATTTTTTCGTTTTAGAAATTGTTCTTTGCTTTTACTCGTATTTGTTCATTCTGTGCTTACTTGCGGCCGAAATTCTGGTCATGAAAATAAAGAATACGAGGGGTAAGCTTAGTAGAATGTAAAATCCTTTTGAAATATTTAAATTCAGATTTTCAGATAAAATTTCTGATAATATTAAATTTAATTCTTTCAGAAGAATTTTTATTGCAGCTCCTAAAACATTATCTTTAGATAAAGATGAAAGGTTGTATGTAATACCGTACAGTGTTCCTTACAATGAACCAATGGATATTACAATAAAGGACTATCCTGGAAAGACAAAAGTTTTTTTATTCAAGACAGTTCATTTAATAAGTGGTGTGTCTAAAATACTTTAAATCTTTTAAATAAAAAGTGGTTATGAATATAAAGAAATTTTTATAATTACGTATACATATCTTTAAAAAATTTTGTTTTACAATATGTAATATGTTGGCTGTTTGTCACTTTCTCTAAAGTAATTGTTTTAAACGAATATATCTTCTTTTATGCGACATCTTTGTTTTATACGATAAGCATAAATAGAGATCATGTAGTAAGTAAAATGAGTAATCAGTAAAATCCACAAAAAAAGTCGAAAAACTTCATAAACCTTTTGGGGATGGTGTATTCTAAATTTGTCAAGTCCCATATCTTGACATCCAGCTGTCCCATTGTTTCGGTCACTAAACCCACAATAAGCCAGGTAACAGACCCTAAGAGAAAAAGTCTATATGAATATTCAAGCTTCTGATCTTTAGTTTTGTAGAGACGAACGGCCTGTTAAACTTTAAAGATTACAGACTCAAGTCTAATTATAGCGGGAAAATCAACTAAATTTACTCTCTTAAATATAATAGTATGTCATGTAATCTTATGTTTCGAACATAACAATAAATAAATAAAATATCTACGTTACAGGATTTCCATTTTATGTAAATGTTAACTTGCCTTCTAAAGAACTTTTGACGTTCGTAAAAATTGATGGAATTGGTAGACGATATCTCTATGTTACTGTAGAAGCAAAGATAGGAGAAAAGTTTAACACAACTATGAATGTACCTGTTGACATCAATAAAGACTATAGAGACTACGTTTTTCTTCAAACGGACAAACCAATTTATTACCCACAAGAAACAGGTAAACATAAAGTATATGAAGTTTTTAGATGTAAGTAAAGCGTGTAACAATGCTATAAATGTGTTAGACACGGGTTTATTGTATTAAAATTTACATTTGATGTATTGAATATATTTATAAAATTATAGTGTATATTCGAATTATTGCGCTGAACGAGAAGCTGTTACCCGAAAACTATAAAGTTCGAGTTCAGATAAAGGTAATATTTAACGATTAATATAATTAATAAATTTAAAACTTAGTACATATATAAGATAAAAGAAATTGTACCGCGCAAACGAAAGCAGTAAACGCAACATATCGGCAATATGCTAAAAAATATTTTCTGTAGGAAGCTAGACTTTATTTTGGTGTTAGATAGGTGAAGAAACTCTGGAAAACTAATCTTCTATTTGGTTGGTATGGAGAATATTATGTTTAGAATTCATTTATTTTATCCACTTGTCCACTGATGATTAAATAATAAAGAAAAATGTTTCACATTCTGATTTGAACAAACAGCACATATCATAACTGGCCTGTCCTTGTAGCCTTCCGCTGGTGTTTGGAGTTTTATCTGTTCTGTGGTCCAGTTCTGTCGGTTCTACAATATTTTATCAATTATGAATGACTTTTCAATTTTCTAAAGTATTCAACATAAAAATAAATTGTATTTATGCTAAACATTTACATAAAAGAATGTCTCGAATAAATTAATGTGTTGAAATAGTTCAGAAAATAATGGATATCACCCAATGTGTTACCAACATTTCTTTTAGAAATTTTATATTGCCTTTATATTAATTTTGTTAAAAAATCATTTGAAATGTTGCCTCGTTTGTTTTCATTTTATTTCTACCAGTCACTTAATTGGGTTGACATAGTTATTGTTAGTAGATTATTTTACGGTGAGGATCTAAATAAAACAATGCAAGCGTTAGAATAAATTGATGTTTCATATACAAACAAAAAGTAGTACAAGACAGTTTAAAGCGAACATAATATTTACGTATTCTTTAATGATATAAATAAGATTCAGGTGTCCACTAATAGTCTAATAAATAAGAATTCGTAAGCATCGAATTTTGATTGCAAGTGAGAGCCAGACAACGAGCTACTATAAACTTTTTTAAAATTTTTTCCGTATATAATACCTAAATCAATGCAAGTTTCCCATTAGAAAATATACCATGAGTTCTTTCAACAGATCACTTATGTGCGTTGCTATAAGTAATAAAACTAAATAAATTAACGATAATGCAACCTTTGACCATATAATTATAATGTTAAATTTTAGTACTAATTAAAGCAAGTCTATTACAGATTAAAAAATTTATTCATCTGATAAATACTAATAAAAAAATTTAACTGAAGAAGATCAGTGCAATATTGAATAAGTAAACACGTAACAAAAAGTTAATTTCTAATTTACCTTAAAGAAATGTTGTATCATCTAAAAACAGTATAAAAACATATGTAATTTTTTTCATCTTAAAGTATGATATTTTTGTTTGTTTTCAGAATCCTCAAAATATTATTGTTCAAGAAACCCTTCTCACAGACCCATGGAAGCAATCCTCTGGCCAATTTCCTAAAATTAATTTTACTCTTTCTTCATTTCCCATATTAGGAGAATGGAAAATAGAGGCCTCATACAGAAGTCAGGTGACTATTTTTCGTATAAGTATTCTAATACCTGTATATAATTATATTTAATTGGATGAAACATAATTTCAGAAAAAAACGTCTGTGTCATTTAATGTAGAAGAATACAGTAAGAGAAATTAATAGTTAGATTATACAAAATGACTCAAAAGTTAGTTTACCTTATAGAAATACTACCTTACAAACCAACCATTTATGAGCGAATAAAATTACAAAGTATTGGTAGTTGGTTAGGTAATCACTCAGTTATGTGAAGTTTTTTAACTTTTATTCGCGTATTTGAAAGTAAATAGTGGTCTGTTTTGATTAAAAGTTTATTGTGACCATTTCCTTGGTAGATCACTTAATTGTTGAATTGCTTTCACACACCAGTTTAATGGAATCCTGGCAAATTTGCAAAATTCAACGAATTCCGTTTTAAAGTCAATGTATGATTCATAATAAAAGTATTTTCTAAGCATGGTTTACTGTATTTTGGGTCATTTTTTCCCAATTTTTAAAAATATACATTCTATGAACTTTTTTACAACTTTAGCATTACCAATATTTGCTGTAAAGCTTCAAGTTCCAAATGCAATTTTGTTTAAAGATGAAAAAATTGATGTTATTGTACATGCTGAGTAAGTGTGACAAAGTCAATAACACGTAAAAATATAAATTAATTTAAATAATTTTAAATCTTAATTGCTGTTCATTGCATCTCCTAGTACGAATACTTGTTTGTATAAAACTAAATCAATAAATAACCTGCCAGGCAATAACTAAAATTATTTTGACTCCACCCTTATTTAACGTAACATGATGAATTAATTTTGAAAGCTTTGTAGGACGTAAAACTATCAATAAGTTTAACTTGTTTTGCGTTATTTACAGGTATATTTATGGAAAAAAAGTTAATGGAAATGCCGAATGTAAATTAAACATCGTGATGCAGAATAAAAAGATACTTCAGGCAGGGATTAAAACTGTGCCAGTGAGTGAATTATTGTATTATTTCTTGTTCTCTAATGAGTAACTTTATCTATTAAACCTGAATTATTTCATTTTATTTTTAACCGTACAACCAGTCAACAATGGAAATGGCATAAGCAAAGATTGATATATAGAAATTAACATGGAGTAATTTTAATGCATTAATCTACCTGTTAAAATTTCTAATGGAATTTAAAGTTTGTCCTTGCAAATAAACACTGCCTGTTCAACCATCAAGGGCTAGTACTAATTTCTACATAATACTGTGATTATGTTGCTGGCATTTTAAAAAGTCATTATAAATGTAGATAAATCATATAATTAAAATTACTTTTCTTCCTTAGCTATACTCTTTAATAATCCCGAATTTAATTGGTCTGAACTCAAATATACGTTTTGTGTTTGAAAATAATATTTTTTGAGTTTCAGGTTATATAAAAAAGATAATAAATAAATGTTCATTCTACTGTATTTAAAAATGAATTTAATAGCAAAGGAATACAAATATTAGGGAAATAAATTCCCTCATTTTCCTGTATTGGAATATTGTGTTCTTGAAATTAAATCTGAAACTGTTTATTATAAGAACGTTTTATTAAGCCATATTTCTAACCAGGTGTTCTATTGTAATCTTGAATGACACAATACTTCATTTAAAAAATGGCTTGTTAGTTTGTAAGAAGTAAAAAGTGTAATAGATATACAATATGTGTATACATACTTAATTATCAAATTAACTATGCACACTGTAATAGTTAGAAATTATAGAAATAAATTATCTTCATATATTTAGTTCAAAGATGGAGAAGCAAAGATTTTACTATCTACTGCAGAACTTTTGAAACAATCAAGACTTAAGAATTTCCCACACAACAGTGAATTATCCATCAATGTTTCTGTTATTGATGAAGCAACAGGAATAAGAGAAAGTGCAAAAGAAGAACGTATTAAAATTTCTTCATCTCCATACCTTTTATCACTTAAGTATATGAAATCCTACTACACACCAGAAATGAGTTTTAACATAGTGGTAAGTACAGAAAAAAGGTATTAAAAAGTACTTGCTTAGCCATTATCTAACAGATATTTGTGTAAACGGTTTTGAGATTGTATATTTCAGGCTAATGTCCTGTACTTAAATGGAAAACCAGCGACGAATATCAAAGTTTATGTTTTTGTAACAAATTCCAATATCAGATATACTACAGGCGGATATACTAACAAAAATGGTGACGTTAATCTCGAACGCTATCTACCATTTCGTGATACATATCTGCAAATGACAGTAAGCCTTTTTTAAATTTCGTTTAATGTTATATCTTTACAAAACCAAATCATCTTTAAATAAATAAACATGATTTTTCTTTGTTTCAGTTAGCATTCAATTTGCTGAAATTGAAATTCTTCTTAAAAAAATACATATTGTAAATTTAATTCTTTCTGTGCCGTAAGGGCTGTTAAAAAGTTTTATTATGTTCAGCGTAAATTTTTTTAGGTTTGAAATAAAAATCATATAGTAGTGAAGAAATGGAACTTGACACAATTATATAAATACAAATTTCTGAGCAGTTTTGTATGTAGAACCTCACAATGGGTAACTGGTCCTCAGAAAATTTTCAACAAAGAGATTTCAACTACAGATAACAATACATGAAATCTTATAACGGAAGAGTGCTCAAGCAGTGTTGTAGCTAGCACCACTGGAAACACTCCTGCGCACTCCTTTTATTACAAATATTATATATTTTTAACTTTATCAGGTGACAACAGACGATAGAAGATATAACAGTGAACAACAAGCAACTGAAACACGACGAGTATATAAATTTGATTCCAAAAAAGGTATAGCGCTATCGAGATCCCATTCAATGCAAAAAAAAGGAGTAAGTAAAAAGTCTTTAGTATTGCATAATACTTTTTAAATAAATGTTTTTTTTTTAAATTATTGAAATACATGTCTTATCTTCCACACAGATTGGTTGGACCTTGTTTATATACTTTACAAGTAACACAAATGGTCAAATTGGAAATGTATTTTTCATAGTAAGTATAAATAATTGAATTTTCTTAAACACGTTTCTAATGACAGTTTTAATTGATGAGGTAAGCAGAGAAACATGCGGGTGATTCGGAAAGAGAGAAACCTGGATCCGACATATTTAGAACTGGCATCCATAGATGATACTTGGAGAATTGTATGATCGGATTAGATCGCAATTCTCCCAGATCGGTTTTCTGGTACCTTAACTGTCTTGTGTTTTTTTCAATTTTGAATTTTTTACAATGCATATAAAAACCGCAACTGTAATTTATAATAATTCATACAAATGCCATTTCATATTTATTTACAGGTTATGGATCGTGGAAGAATTCAACTTATGAAACATTTATACTCAGAAACGTTAAAAGCAACTTATCTGAGAGGATTAAAACTTAAAATTACGGCTGAAATGTCACCAGTTGTAAAAGTTCTGGTATTTATGTTAGTGGATAAAGAGCTATTCGTTGATTCGATAACAATAGAAGTAGAAGCGGAATGTCATCGAAAAACTGAGGTAAAATGTCTTAAACTTGTGAGTAATATAACGTGAACAAAAATAAACGTGTTATAGAAAATAAAATTAATTTGTTTTTTAACGTATATAGCAACAAACGTCAGTATTTCGAAATGTTATATACGGTTTGCTGTAGCAGAAAAATATCCAGCAATGAGTTTTGTAGCTTTATCGGCTGTTATGACATTTTATTAACAAATAACCTTTATACGGTATTCTTAACTGTAATACAGTAGACCACCTATAACACTGTTGATAATTCCGTGTTATATGAATTTCATGTTGTTAGAATCACTTAGATTTTACAAATACGTGTGCCGGGCTGTGAATGGCTCATATTTCTAAAATCTAAGTGACTCGTACAACATAGAATTTATATAACACAAAAATTATCAACAGTGTTATAGGGGAGTCTACCGTACATAAAGTTGTATTTTGTGCGATCTCTTATAAAATTTTAATTACAAATTACTTTTGTATTATTAACTATAAAGTAAGAACTAAATGCTTAATTCTGAAGATAGTGTAATCTTTCAAAAATATCACAAATGCTTTTAAATATTTAAACTTTTATTACGTTTCACCCTACCCAAAATCTTTTATCTTATCTTATCTTGTCACTCCTCTAACTTTAGTTACTGTAATTTGACAGTGTCAAGCATATATGCAAGTTATCTTGCCAAATTTCATTGATTAAGTAATCTTTACTACATCTTGAGATATAAAACGAAATAGATACCAACATATGTATGCGGACACACATGCTTACATACACGGAGTTTTTTTTTTCGTTTTCATTTTTGAGTTCAGAGGTTCTTCGAAATCAGATACAGTAGAGCGTCGTTTATCCGAATCAATTGGAGACTGGGGTTGTTCGGAAGATCGCTGTTTCGGATAACCGATTATGTGCGAAAAATATATTAAATTAACCGATCCCATGTTGAAATTTTTTTCCATCGCGTGTCGCTTAGCGTTGAATTTTCGTCGATGTTAAGCCTAACAAAGCCTATTGTATCGTTAAAAATTATTTTTTCATTTTGTACAAATAAAATAAATATAAAAACGATAAAAAACTATACTTCAAAAGTTAATTTAGTATCAAAAACGTAAAAAATATTTGAGTAACCCAAGACATAGCCAAAGAATGCAGCGCCACAGCACTGGCGAAAATTTAAATTTGCCGACTGGAATTCTTTNATCTGTGATAGGCTTGGGTGACTTGCCTACAGCTCCTGAAAGTAGGCTTTAGGCTGATTTCGCGGCTATATGTCTGGAAGGGTTATATTCAGAAGTATGATTTCCTTCACATTTTTGTTCCTATGGACATGATCGACAGTTCTGTTAAGGACCCAACATAATTGTTCGCATCTGCATTCTTGCGTTTTATTTTATTTATTTTAATTGTTTAATTAATATCACGAAAAATTTCATAAAATAACAAAGTATAAGTAAAAATTCAAACTGGGAAAGACTGGGTGCCGGTTACATGGATCCAACGACATCACAGTCTTCTGTGATGTCGTCCGGCTGATATTTGACAGTAATTTTGTATATTACGTTTTCCTACTATGCAATCGTGGTTCGTTTTTTCCATATTTTCTTCCCCTTTTTTAATGTATCTGTTTCAGATGGCAATGAGTCCAAAACCAGTAATTAAAACAATTTTATTTTCTATATTTATAATACTAATATAAAAAACTATACTTCAAAAGTTAATTTAGTATCAAAAACGTAAAAAATATTTGAGTAACCCAAGACATAGCCAAAGATTGCAGCGCCACAGCACTGGCGAAAATTTAAATTTGCCGACTGGAATTCTTTCGGATAATTGACTTTCGGATAAACGAAGCTCTACTGTATTTGCAAAATTCTCCGAAATTCAAATTTCATACGAATCCAGTTCTTTCCCATGTTACATACATAACGGCTAAAAAAGCAAAAGGAAAATAGTGACTTCTATTTACTTTCGAAGTGTGTCTTATTGTAATGTGAACTATAATAGTACTATATTATACATTTGTTTCTTCTTTTATTTTTCCATAAATGGTAAGGCTGCAATAAATATACTGGCAGAAAGAATAAAAACAATTGAATCACAGTTCGCATCTGTTTACATCTGACCAAAATCGTGGCTGAATGGAAAATTATGGGTTTCTTCACGTTTTTAATGTCTAACACAGGCAAGTTTTCCAATGATGAATTTGTTTTGAAGATCATTCATCTTTTTGTTGAGTTGATTATTCTGAAGTGTTCTGTCTTTAATTATTTCTTTTAAAACAAGCAATGAATATTTGATTAAATTTGTTACAAAACACTTGTGTAATATTAAACTATTAAAAGTTTATTTTTATAGACACTATAAAATTCGGAATGTTTTTAAATTATTTTCCAAAATAATCAGATATGCATCTGGTAATTTACTAGCAATGAGTAACCTGCCTACTGTCTTATTGTCTAAACTATTACTTGAGTTTGATAGAAATCAAATGTGGTGATCCGCCAAAGGAAGATGTCTACTGATAGACTTTATATGAGAAACTTGTCGAAATCAAGTATTAGATACGTTAAGAAGACCCAAAATACTCCACGTAGCGAAGCTATTAGTTTGGCACGAACTCAGTATAATCGTTTAATCGGTTAATGTGACCAAAATCAATTAGTATAATTATACCAACATCATACAAACTTACTCGTAATTCTATATGATTAGTTTTTTTTTTTAAATATACAAAATATATTTATTTGTCTTTTTGTGATGTATTCTACAACACTACCTTTTATTGCTATCTTAACATTAATTGTTTGATTTAATTGGTAAGATGTTGAATTTTTTCTATTGTTAGGTCATAATAAATCCCAATTTTCGGAAATTTGAGCCAGGCGGAGAAGGAAATTTCATATTAAAAGGAGAACCAAAGACTAAAGTAGGATTGTTTAGATCGCAATTCTCCCAGATCGGTTTTCTGGTACCTTAACTGTCTTGTGTTTTTTCCAATTTTGAATTTTTTACAATGCATATAAAAACCGCAACTGTAATTTATAATAATTCATACAAATGCCATTTCATATTTATTTACAGGTTATGGATCGTGGAAGAATTNGGGGACCGCTGTTCTACAACACTACCTTTTATTGCTATCTTAACATTAATTGTTTGATTTAATTGGTAAGATGTTGAATTTTTTCTATTGTTAGGTCATAATAAATCCCAATTTTCGGAAATTTGAGCCAGGCGGAGAAGGAAATTTCATATTAAAAGGAGAACCAAAGACTAAAGTAGGATTGTTTGCAGTTGATAAAGCTCTATATTCGCTGAGGAACGAACATAGATTTACAAAAGAAAAAGTAAGTAGGATTCTACTTTTTTTAAAAAATCTTTTCTTCTCGTGCTTTTTTCTAGCAATCCTTTTCCGGGTTTGTTCAGTTCCACAAAGAACTGGACAAACACAGTAGCAAGGGTTATGGTTTGACGTATCTGGAAGTAGATTCTTGAAGTTTTTCAAACCGTACGGATCTGATTGCTCGCAGAGAGCCCTTATTGCTGGACCATTCGTATTATAGTATCAAGTTCTTTGTCGTTTAACAGAAAAATAATTTATGTATTAATGAAACTTTTAAACAGTTCCTCTAATTCCACAGTTGTTTACGAGAATAGCAGAATCTGATAATGGTTATGGATCAAAAAATGAAACAAATCCCTTAAAGATCCTTTCCGATTCCGGTATATTAGTTTTTGGGAATTTCCGCATAGAAAATATGAATGCTCACTCTATAGGTAAAATTATTTTGAACCTGTACATTATTGTTAAGTATAACTAGAAAATTTAACACTAAAATTTCAAAATTTCATTTGATTAAACAAAATTTTTATAGGAAATAATCACTTAAAAATGAGTACCATCAAAAAGCAAGAAGATGATGTCGTTATCGATGATAAAATTGATGAAAGCAAGGAAAACCAACCATCAATTCGAAGTGATTTCAGAGAAACTTGGTTATTCGAAGATTACGAAATCGGGTATTGTATTTGGTACAATTGCATATATGAATTATGCTGTTGGCTATGTTTGCTATAGGCACCATAACATTGATCGCGGTGCCTATAACAAACATAGATGACAACAATATGGCCACCATAACTGCGTCATTAGGTTTCACAGTTAGTGGCAAAAATCTCTCGTGAAGAAATTCGTTTAGGACTTTTTTTTTATTCTTTACCGATAAATATTTTTAGAACCTTTGATCACTGTGCTATACTGTTAAACACGCGATAGGCTTAGCGTGACTGCCTAAAGCTTTTGGAAGTAGGCTTTAGGATGATTTCTGGGCTATATGTCGTGAAGGGTCATATTTAGAAATATGATTCCTATGACTTTCTTGTTCCTAAGGACATGATCGACAGTTCTGTTAAGGACAAAACATCATTATTCGCATTTGCATTCTTACGTTTTATTTTATTTATCTTGATTGTTTAGTTAATATTACGAAAAATTCCATAAAATAACAAAGTATAAGTAAAAATTCAAACAGGGAAAGACTGGGTGCCGGTTTATGAAATATGCTGCCTTATCGGATATCGTAAAATTTTACGGTTTTTTTCGATTACATGCACCCAATTTTACATATCTTCAATGTAAAACTGTATAAATTCGCCTTTTATGATTGACTACAGACCCCGCTGCGCGTTGTTGTGGCTCAAAATGTATCTAATTTAAATGTATACCACTTTCCCCGTGGAGAGGAATTTTTTCGAAAAGTCCCTTCTTAGTGTACATTCTATTGACGTACCCTATTAAAACGCAATCAAAAACGCAAAAATCCGCATCTAAAATAATATAAATAGTAGCAGAGTTTTTTATGGTAAGCCTTAATCTTAACCATCTCCCTTCAGTGGAGGGAATTTCGACACGTATATTATATAAAAACACGTGCGTATTCAATGCAACGTTGTGTCAAATTTCAAAGGAATCGGTAGGAATAAATGAATATTATATTTTTATTTATATAAATAGACAGAATATGATCTACTTTAATTCATTTTCACAGAAAAGCATAATGCCTCATGGAAAAGCGAACTTAGGTTTTCGTACTGGCAGCACTATCTGTTNAAAAGTTGAATCTTATAATCGTTTAGTTTGTTTTCTATTTTTTCATACAACTTTTTACAATAGACAATAAAGATGTGACTTACTAAGTCATGGCGACGTTTTTGTGCAGGCAAATGAATTGTTATATAAACATGTTTTTTTTCCATGCTTCTTTCCCTTCTCAGATAGAAATGTACCAATTTTGGCTTCATTAAAGTTTTTCCTTAAAATTACCGACAGCTTCAAATAAAGATAGTTATTTTAAACCACCCAGTTTTTACATTAAATGTTTTGTAAGTTACAGTAACTTTTGTAATAGGGCGCCGAAATGACCATGACAATTAAGGATTAAGCTTACTATCTTAGGGATTCGAGATCGAATTAAAGCAAATAAACAAGGGCGTTTTTCATTGGCACTCAGACCATAGAAAAATTGCCGTTGATTTTCATTTTTTTTATCTTTTACTTTTCATACTTTATTAGTGCGGCTTTAACACAGCTAGATGAGCAAAGTCTACATTTCTGCTTTACTTCCTTACTTCTATTAAAGTAATTTTAGAAGGCACTGCCCCCTTTTTATATTGAAGAGTATGGATGACAATAAAGAGTTTTTTTACAGGCATAATAGAATTTCAGTGGTTAATACGAAATTACCAGACAGCATCACAACGTGGATGATACAAGCTGTTAGTGTATCACCTCAGTGGGGAACGTGTGTTACCGATGCCATAGAAATCAAATCATTTAAAAGAATCTTTCTTCGATTTAATATCCCATATTCTCTCGTACTCAACGAACAGTTGGATTTTCAAGCAACTGTATTCAATTATTTTCCGCAGAAAATACCGGTAAGTACAGTTGACGAATAATTTTATGTTCTGTACTTTTTATTTCAAACGTAAACATTGTATTATCTCATAAAATGTCAATTAATGGCTAATATTATACGAAATAATGTTATGTGCATTGAGTAATTTTAATTAGCAACATTACTTGTTTAATACAAACTACTATACTGCTAGAGTCTAAGTAAATTTCGTTAATTTTTTCATAATGGTGTTACTGATATCGGGTCCAATAAGACGGTTTAAAATTGAGGAAACTTTGCCTTAATCTAAATATGACAAATTATAGAAAGGGTCGAATTGTTGGACTATGGCAAAACAACGTTTAGATGATGTTTTGAGGTGGATAAAAATACTTCTTTCCAAAAAAACATTTCACAGAAAATGACCTTTTGTTTAAATGTTAGACATGTGAAAAAAAAACAAGAAAAACTCCACGTGTCCAGCCCATTAGTCAGTTCTAATGCCTGAACCCACGTGGTAAGGAGATTTGTTTTGAGAAGACTTTCTATGGAAAACTGGTCTCTATTAAGATGTTAGACATGTGAAGATTAGCTGGAAAAATCCGTATGATGGCCCTTTAATTATAGCTGAATTCACTACCCTCTATCGGTGTTCAGTGAGATTACAATGGCTGTTTATAAATGAATGAAAATGAAAGCAACATTTCTGAAATAATCGTTTTCAAAATTTTAGTTTGAAATATTATTTTCATTAAGTACAGTAATTCTAACTTTTTCAAAAATATATATATATGTCCTTATTCTATTACTTTCAAATGTTTTATGTACGTTTAAGAACAGATTGTTACGTAAAAAGTAATGCGTATTGTAATATTTTAGGTAACTGTTTATATGTATGGAGTGAAGAATCTACGTAGTGGAGTAAAAGAAGGAGAGAAAGGCGAACAAAAGAGAATCACAGTCGCACCTAATTCTACAGGAACGGTGCATTTTTCAATTGTTCCATTAGTGGCTCAGGATTATCTCATTCGTGTTGTGGCTCTAAGTCCTTATGGAAAGGATATTGTAGCCAGAAAATTACATGTGGTGGTAAGATACTTTGTCTTTAAATTTCTAAAATATTATATAAAACAAAAAATATTTTTTTCAGATTTCATATTAAGCATAAAAATCACATTGTGTATCAAATTCTATATGTGAAAATATTGAATTTGAGTTTGCAATCCTCTTACAATTCTGATGAAACAACATGGAGTAACTGGTGTAACTACTGAAAGTAACTTCTGATTAAACAACATTGGAGTAACTACTAGCTGCTACTGAATAACTAAATGGCACGACTTTTAATCATTGTAGTGAGAGTTCAAATTGTGGGATATTACGCCATGCTCGTTTTTCTGAGAGCAGCAAAGAGAAATTGTGAGCTGTGTTCCATTTATATGTGAGCTGAGATTGTATGTACCACAAACTATGTGCTTTCGTTTCTCAGTGATCTAAACAAGAATAGCGAGCTATGGTTTATTTTTTGTGAGGTGGACAAAAATTTTAGTAATTTTCCTTCATTTTTCTGATAGCGATGGAGGGAAATTACATTGTGATAATGATATGCGTATTAATGGATAGAAAAGTTGAAAGTACTTACAAAAGTCTTACCATAGATTTGTCATAGAACGAAAATTAAAGAAAGACAAAACATACATGGTTCGGCTGTTAACCAATAACAATTTCATTGAGAAAATAAGATGTGAAAGGGAGAAGAGTGCATTGAAAGCTAACACTAAAAGCAATTAGTAATATCAGAATAACGTGTTTTAGAACTTACTAATAGTGTAACTTTTAGATATATTTATACGACTTGCATATTTATGAAAATATGAAAAAAATTACTAAAAACACATTGCCATAAATAAAAATGTTTAACAACTTCACATAATCTACGAATGCATAATTTACATATTTTATATTGAACATTTTCAGGATGAAGATGCGACTGAGGAAATGGAGTATTTTATCACTTTAGATCCAACAAACCAACAAAAAAGAAGGACTAGAAATATCGTTTCCGATGTTTTATCAGGTGTATATTAGATATGTTTATGTTTTACTCTGAGAATATTTAATTCCAATGAACTATTATTAAGTCAAACAATATTTTTAATCTCAACAATTAGTTATATTTGTATATTTTATTTAATATTAATTTTAAAATATGTATATGTAATATACACGTAGGAACATTGTCATAAATTATAAGCATTTTAGTCTTTTTATAACGATTTCATCGAAGATATAATTATTACTTTTGTATAATTTATTGTAAAAAGTAACCTCAGTTTATGCTTTGGTAAAGATGTATTTGTTTAAATATTTAATGCTGAATTATTTTTAATAAATAAAAATTTTTATTAACTAATAAATTAATTAATTATATAAATTAGATATTACAGATGCATCGAAGCAGCTACAAAAAATCAAATTTAGTCTTAAACCTGGAAAAACACATATTCCTGGTAGCGAGATGGCTGTCATATCTTTAGTTGGTAAGATCAAATACCACAATACGTAGAAAGTAGTTAAAGAAATAATTTTTAACACTATATAAAATTCGTAAATTTGAGAGTCACTTGTATGACTTTCAATATATATAGTAGACCTCCTTGTAATACAATAGATACGTTCCGTTTTATATGAATTCGTGTTTTACGATCACTTAAATACATGAGCCAATCACAGCCCGGCACATACGCAGTTCAGGAACTACAACTGTTTGAAAGGTTTTCTTCCATAAAATTAATCGATTCTAGACTAATTCGACTTAACATTTATAAGATACGTATAATTTCTTGGGAATAATCCATATAAACTATGATATAAACAAAAAATTGTAGGATTACTTACCGAGTGTGCACCGTTCGACTACGCCATTGCTTAAGCTTGTTTTTTCATGGAGCGGCGCATCGAATGGCGGGCGCGTGTTTCCTAATAAGTTATTTTTCTGCGAAAAAATCGCCGAACTTTGGAGACATCAGTAATATAAATATAATTTAAATCTATGGCCATTAAATAATAAATGGTTTTTAGTAGGTCTGCTGCTTGTTTAAACTGAACAGTTTGTGCAATATCCGCTATTGGACTATATTCGATTAATCCTGTCGCGACACGAGTCGGCGATGACGTTTTACAGTATTTTACGAGTCTCTTTTAGCGTGTTTTTACAAATACAGTCGCAATTTTTCGCCGTTATATACGAATCCGTATTATATGAACCCGTTTTATAAGGGGAGTTTACTGTAATCATTCACTTAATTTATTTTTATCTTGAGAAAGAAAATTGCTTATGTTCTAAGCTCAGATACTTCATGAAAAGAACGGGGTGGTAAAAAGGACACATTCTCACATACTCAAATAAATAAATCCATGGAAATTAATAAGACAAATCGACTGTAATGTACGTTTTGAAAATGGCACATGATATCTTTATCATTTTTGCCAGGCAGAAACAAATTAAAGTTTTTTATTTTCTTCTCTTTGTGTAAAATATATAGTATTCAATGTTAGGCTGTAATGTATAATGATAATAATTTGATTTATTTCAGGTACTGAATATGGACCTATAGCTCAAGCAGCGTTACTCGATCCACAATACTCAATTAGAATGCCCACTGGCAATTGCGAGCAAACAATGAATCACTTAGGTCCGAATTTATACACATTAAACTTCTTGAAAAGTACAGGAAAAATAGATTTGCAAACAGAAAGAAAGTTGCGTGATTTTATGGCCGAAGGTATGAACACTATTATACATTTAATATCTATTATAACTTACATAAATATTAATTTACTTATTACAGGATATAAAAGAGCATTAACTTTTAGAAAACAAGATGGCTCATTCAGTATCTGGCCACAAAAACCTTCAAGCATTTGGTAAATAAATTTTTAAATCTGTTATAATATATATGTTACCGCTAAAGCTCGAAATCCGTTAATGTGCAGATTACCTAGCTAATCTGCAGATTATCTAGCTAATGTGCAGATTACCTAGCTAATCTGCAGATTACCTAGCTAATCTGCAGATTAACTAGGGTGATCAATTAAAGTTGCGAAAATTATTCCATTTCTCAAATTAACTAGGTAATCTGCAAATTACCTACTAGGCACTCAGTAAAGTGAAAATAAGATTTTTGCTGGAACAACAGCAACGTTTCTTTCTGTATGCTTAAATTAAAATAATGTTATTTATTTAATTTTCGATATCTAAAGAATCAAGTTAATACAATCAACAAATTAATTGATTGAATCAATCATCAATCAATTAAAAAAACTTTAATACAAAAATCAAACAGTTTAAAATATTACTACAATTAGGGAAATGAATTTGCAAAACATATGATAAAATTGTACTTACTTATTAGTGAAATCTAAAGATTGGTGACACTTTGAATTACGTAGCACTTGGTTTTTGCGACAAGCACGCCTATTTGTGGTACATTTAGATTTGCAGTCACATTTTCTGAAACCCTGCCCAGTACCAAGGGATTGTTTTATTGCTGTTTGACGCAAAGATATTTCTACAGCAGGGACATCCATCTTCTTTCGTTAAAAATCTCTCTTTGCAAACACTGAATTCAGATTTTGCATACAATTGTTTTAAAATACCTGTTTTAGTATCAAGTTTATAAAAGCCATCCTCCGTTTTACTAAGAACCACAGCTAAAATTTCCTGCATCAGTTTTTGTATCAATTTTCTAATTTTTCAAGGTCTTCTTCAGTCTTTATCGAATGTAATACGCTTTGTGGTATGAAAATTTTTGTATTAAAGTTTTTTTTAATTGATTGATGATTGATTCAATCAACTAATTTGTTGATTGTATTAACTTGATTCTTTAGATATCGAAAATTAAATAAATAACATTATGTTAATTTAAGCATACAGAAAGAAACGTTGCTGTTGTTCCAGCAAAGATCTTATTTACACTTTACCGAGCTCCTAGTAGGTAATTTGCAGATTATCTAGATAATATGCAGATTACCTAGGTAATTTGAGAAATGGAATAATTTTCGCAGCTTTAACGGATCACCCTAGTTAATCTGCAGATTACCTAGGTAATTTGAGAAATGGAATAATTTTCGCAGCTTTAACGGATCACCCTAGTTAATCTGCAGATTAGCTAGTTAATCTGCAGATTAGCTAGGTAATCTGCACATTAACGGATTTCGAGCTTTAACGGTAACATATATACTTTTTCAATATTGATTTTATTCATGAAAATGTCTGACCCGACATTAAAAATAACTGAAATATATTTATTTGTGCATTAATTATCATATAAATATGATTTCTTGTAGGTTAACATCGTTTGTTACGAAACTATTTTGTCAAGCCAGCAAACTAATTTATATAGACGAAAATGTCACCTGCAAAGCTATACAGTGGATAATTTCTAAACAAAACTCTGACGGCTCGTTCAAGGATCCTTATTTCGTTATAAAAGAAGATATAATGGTGAGTTTTAACAATATTTACAAAAATAATTTAAATAGGTAAATTTGGCTATAAAAGTAATTATTTCTAAAGAACGGAAGCAACGGAAAAGTCCCCATGACTGCATTTGTTCTAACCGTACTGCAAGAATGTAAATGTAGTTCATTAGTGAGTAGTGTAATATTTTTAATTTACATATTAAAAATTAAACTACATTCGTTTTATGCAATATTTATCATAGTATTTGATTCCTAGAATATGAATGATACCCAACTGAGAGCAAAATCATTTTTGGAAAAGCAGTACGAATCTATAAATGATCCATATGTTATGGCATTAACTGCTTACGCACTCGCAGCAACAAATAGTGAGAAAAAACATCAAGCAAACGAAAAACTTATGAAAATGTCAGTTTACGATAAAGGTAAATTTATTTTCAATGAATAATTCTATAAAAATTCGAGTTATAAATTGGCACGTTATGAATTGAGATTCGTTTCAAATTACTTTAAATAGGACTAAATCATAGGTATTGGGCAAAATCCTCAAAAATCGAATCGATAGAAATTACTTCGTTTGGTCTTTCCACTCAGCTCCAATTAAGGAACATGTCAACGTCTCTTTCAATTGTGAACTGGTTGAATACACAAAAACTTGATAACGGATTCTACTCTTCTACTCAGGTATTTAAGAATTTTGTTACCAAATGAACATTAAACTAACAATTACGTGGTCGACAAAGTTTTATAATTTACAAGGGAAAACGGTATGACAAAAACTTTTATACATACACTAAATGCACAAAAAAAGTTGTAATTTTTTCCTGTGCATTTACAGTATATACAGTGAACCCCCCTATATCAAGGTAGACAAGTTCCGTTTTTTATTAACTTGATATTTTAGGAGACCTTGCCAATTACAGCCCGACACGTGTGAAGTTTACGGACTACGGCTGTTTGTAAGGTTTTCTTCCATAAAATTAATCTATTCTAGACTAATTCGACTTAACATTTTCAAAATACGTATATTTTTTTGGAAATAATCCATATATACTATGCTATAAACAAAAAATTGTAGGATTACTTGCCGAGTGTGCACCGTTCGACGTCGCCATTGCTTAAGCTTGTTTTCATCGCGAAGCAGTGCACCAAACGGCGGGCGCGAATTCTGATAAGTTATTTTTTTGCGAAAACTTTGTTGAACTTTGAAGACATCATTAACCCTGCGTTAGTGCACTGAGTTTTTTTTCGGCATTAGTGCAGTGGGGCGTTCGTCCACCCCGACATTTTTTTGTATCCATAAATCATGTAAGTAAAAATTCATAAAGATTTACTCATTTATTTGGTAAAGGCATGTGTCATTATACATATGATTATATTCAGGTATGATTATATATTATATTAGTACATAAATCCACGAAAATAAAAAACAACATTTATAAAAACTTATTACATTAGATCTTATTATTAAACCAATAGTAAAAATCTAAATTGTTTTTAAAGCATTTTTATCACTCTGATTCAATAGCTGACATTGTACTTTGGCACTCAGTGCAAATGACAAGCAACTTGCTATGTTTGGTATTTTCTCAATGTGTTTATGAAAGTCAGCCATTTTGAATTAAAATAAACTTAAATTATTTTTATTCACATTGATTATTATATCTATATTATAGATAATAAATGTGGTCACATTATAGTTATTTTTAAAATAAAAAAAACAAATATTTGTAAAATTAAAAAAAATCGTAATTAATACTGTGGGGTGTTTGGAGACCCCACTGAGAACTGTTGTTTTTCTCTTACTGGAATTTCTGCAGCATCGTAGTAATTTCTGAGCATGCTCTATACATAAAATCATGAAGCTACTGAAGAGGACACAAATATTTCTTGTGAAATCTATGAATAGTGCAACTTTTAAAACGTTGGGGGTGGCGAAACACCCCACTGCACTAGCCCAGGGTTAA